GGCTGCAGCTTTGATATATGTTTGGTTCCTTACCATGGGCTTGTGATGTAGTTGAGATTTGCGCCTCTTGCAGTCCTTACCCGTGAGACCTATTGGAGTTTGTTGAGTTTAATTTAGCCCCTCTTGTTGAGTTTGAATCATTTGAATGATTGTAGATGGATCAAACTTGTTACTTTGAGAGATTGGTGATGTTTTGTACTCTCTTATGTATATCAAAACTTTTAGAGAATTGATTTGAGTTGCCCTGAACCGTGAGCCTTGTTGTGCCTTGGGTTGGCTGTGGTTGTGGGTCTTAGCAGCTGCTCCTTACTGCCCTGAACCGTGAGCCTTAATAGTTCTTTTTTGGACCCTTTTATTGCCTTGGCCGTGAGCCTCTTTTATCCTTGGGTTGCCTTAGCTGCTGCTTCCTCTTCTTTATTGACCCCCGACCGTGAGCATTTATTTGGTTCTGTGGGAAGATTTCATGCTTATTTGATGTATGAGGCTATCTATTAATTTGAAAGTTGGAGAATTTTGATTTCGGCATGAGTTTAGAAATATTAGTGGTGGTTTCCCCGAGATCATTTTCTTTTTGAAGTTTGGGAGATTTTAAATCTTATTTTGGAAAAGTATTTGGTTGAGACGAATTAATTTCATAAAAGATGTCATTGGGGTTTGGATACGTTTGGATACCGGCGTTAGGAGGTCATTTTGACTCGGGTTGGGTGAGAAAGTGATATCCATTTGAAAGTGATATCCATTTTGGATTGGTTCAGGGTTCTTCGGGTCTTTCTTTTCGACTCTTTTTGTCACGAGCTTTGAGTGTTGATTCATCCTTCGTTCTTTTCGATATTTTTGGTGAATCGGTCTCTCCTCTCTCTCATCCTATTTTTGTTCTTTTCCTTTCCTTGCTTCTTGGTTCGGTTTTCGATGTTTATGTCTGATGCATAAGTGTCAACGTATAGCCTTAACGTATAGCCTTTATAGCCTTTTGCTATACGTGAAACCATCAAACAAGGTCGCAAGTAGTCGTTTTGGGGCGTACAGTGGTGATGATAAAGTCACACCCAAGATAGAGCAAAAAGATGCCCTATCCTATAACATCAAGATCCAGGTATTTGATGAATAATAGAACGGTATCCTTCACCGACATAATCTAGCGGGAGTTCGGCTCGAACCTCCTCAGGTGATTGGCAGTCCCACGCCCGACAACGTAATTGACTTGTAGACAATAAAAATTGTTAAAATTTGTTTAAAAAAATAAAAAAATAAAAATATATTCTTCTCTATAAAACAACGTTTGATAATTTTTCGAGACCTATGTGCATGTCAAAAACATAAATTTTAAAAAATACATTTTTAAAATTGATTGTCCACCTGACGAATACTTGTTTAGACTGAGAAATAGCCCTCTAAGTGAGGTTCTAGACACACTTCTAAACGAGTGGCAGGTTCTATACATTCGGGTGACCGAATAGCCTTTGCGGACCCTCGAGTATAAATATATATCTGAGCCTAGCCCCATACGAGTGCTTGCGGTCCCCCTCACCCGAACTTTTTTGTTTTATCGAAGCTTTAGGACATGGCACTCGTGTTACTTTTCCTTTCTTTTGGAATTTCCCCGGGAGTTTTGAGGATTTTCTTTTACTCTTTTCTCGTTGATTTTCTCGAGTTTTCTGTCATGAGTTGTTACATTGTTCTTCCGATTTCCTGGACGACGTTTCTTTCAGACATCGCTTTTTGCGATGCATTTTGACTTGCTATACTTAAGGAACAACGGATCTCACGGGTGTACATGTTTGCTTTACATTTTACAGCACTTCATTTTCCTATTTCTACCAGCTACTGTTCTTTTTGTACAGCATGTTATACTATTCTTGTTTGTACATGCTACTGTATCGTACAACATGTTATACTATTCATGTTTCTCTCTGTTACTGTTCTTTCTGTACAGCATGTTATACTATTCATGTTTCTACATGCATCCTACTGTTCTACATGCATCCTACTGTTCTACATGCATCCTACTGTTCTACATGCATCCTACTGTTCTACATGCATCCTACTGTTCTACATGCATCCTACTGTTCTACATGCATCCTACTGTTCTACATGCATCCTACTGTTCTACATGCATCCTACTGTTCTACATGCATCCTACTGTTCTACATGCATCCTACTGTTCTACATGCATCCTACTGTTCTACATGCATCCTACTGTTCTACATGCATCCTACTGTTCTACATGCATCCTACTGTTCTACATGCATCCTACTGTTCTACATGCATCCTACTGTTCTACATGCATCCTACTGTTCTACATGCATCCTACTGTTCTACATGCATCCTACTGTTCTACATGCATCCTACTGTTCTACATGCATCCTACTGTTCTACATGCATCCTACTGTTCTACATGCATCCTACTGTTCTACATGCATCCTACTGTTCTACATGCATCCTACTGTTCTACATGCATCCTACTGTTCTACATGCATCCTACTGTTCTACATGCATCCTACTGTTCTACATGCATCCTACTGTTCTACATGCATCCTACTGTTCTACATGCATCCTACTGTTCTACATGCATCCTACTGTTCTACATGCATCCTACTGTTCTACATGCATCCTACTGTTCTACATGCATCCTACTGTTCTACATGCATCCTACTGTTCTACATGCATCCTACTGTTCTACATGCATCCTACTGTTCTACATGCATCCTACTGTTCTACATGCATCCTACTACGATGTAATTAACTATAGGGGCTTGCCCTTATAGAAAGTTTTTCCGAACCCAGCCTAAAATAAACCATATTTAATTCTTTGTATTAAATAGAGGAACTTGTCGGCAAATAAAACGGTTTCACAGACCAAACGAATGTCATATATTTCTTAGTTTATTTGATCGAGCCCCATCCTCAAGTCTTGTGTTTATCCCTCGGGATAGATACGAGATTTGAGGTAGAACGCTCTTTCATTTAAACTGTGAAAAATATGAGGTCAGATTGATTTCATATTTTTTCTTAAAACTTATATATATATATGTAAATTAAACGTCCTTCCGAAGCGGGCGACGGGATTTCGATTCCGGTGACCGACAGCTTCTTACGGGCAACTACCCCAACTCTTTAGTGCCGACACATTTACGCTCAAAATAATTCTGTGTCAGTAAGGACGTGGCTCGAGTTTTCTGGTCATATAGTTTGGCCAGTAGGCTCGACAAACGAAGCGATTATGATAAGGGCCTTTTGACCTAGTGGTTTGGCCAGTATGCTCTATCAAGTGGTTTGGCTAATAGACTCCACTATAAAACGGTCATGGTTGTAGCTTGTATGTTTCCCTATGCCGTTTTGCCTCTTTGAGTTACTAATCATAGGGTATACTTGATAGGACACAAAGATCCTTGTAAGCTCATATCGACTTAGATTTGTTCCCGTAGAGAAACATTCACCCTTGGTCCATAAGGTTCTTTTGGACAAATTAACTCATACTGTTGATAATGATCTTTCTGTCAGGTTGGATCGACTATCTTATTTGACAAAGTAGACCAGAGACCAAGATAACTCGGAATGACGGAAACATGAGATCTTGATCGTGTTCATCACAATTTTTCCGATCATTTGGTCTTAAGCAAACAATGATTTTCATAATTCTAAATTTACTGCTACTATACGTTAAATTTGAATACTTAGTACATAATGACTATCCATAACCAGGCTTGCGCCTTTGGGAAACCTCTAACCCCATATCTTAAAGTCCTCGCAAAATTGGGGTGAAATCTCTGGGTATGTCTTACTGACTATCTCCTCTATCTTATGAAAATTTGACTCGGAAGGTAAGTTCTCTCATCTCACTCATTTTTGGTGTCCACTATGAACTGTATAATTGAGTACAATCATAGCATCAAATTCCTATAAATTTTCTTCACTGGCTAGATTACTTGTTTTAATTGTGGAGCTTTTAAAATAAAAAATTACACCTCGAAGAAGAGCTTTTTCAGATAAATGATAATGTTTTGTAAAAGGACTTAATTACAGTTTAAATTTGAACTCTGTAAAACGATAGATTGTGCGATTCTAATTGTAGCATCAACTTCATATAAATTTTCTGCACTTGCCGTATTGCTTTCTTTAATAAAGGAAGGGTTTTGAATTGTCATTCTATCTTTACATATTTAGTTGGCAGAATGAATTTTAGTTGGAACCTATTCAGATAATTGCTTTTTTTGGTGAACTTTACATGAAAATTGACAACTTGTATTAGTTATATCATAAAAAATCTCTGAACCACAATGTCATCTGGAATCAAGTTCTCATGGTTTCATTCTTGTTAGGGGAGTTTTTTCAGCCACTTGTTATTATGTTTACAATTCCGTTATTGAAAACTCTATTCAGTAAATAAGGATCAGTGGAATTAATATTAGAATGTTATGCCATTTAAAGTGTTAAATGAAACTCTCTTTTCTTGGATTTGATGCCCTTAATCAAGTGTGTGGGGTTTTAAGGTCTTCAAAAGTTTTATTTCCTTGTTGAAGTTTTTCAGTGGAATTAATATTAGAATGTTATGCCATCTTAAGTGTTGAATAAAATTCTCTTTTCTTGGATTTGATGCCCTTTATCAAATGTGGGGTTTTAAGCTCTTCAAAAGTTTTATTTCCTTGTTAAAGTGTTTAAGTTTCAGGGGCTTTCCCTCATTAAGACGGTGTTTTGTCTCACTGGTAAATTTTTTAAGTTTCATATGCAGTCCTAGTAGAGAGAGTGGGAGGGAGGGAGTTTTGTCTCCTTGTTTTAAGTGTTAGATTTGAGCGAGGGTGGTACGGAGATTGATGGATGCTTATTTCTTTGGCATTGATAAATGCTCCGCACAGTAGTTGCTCTGCTTGATATGCTTGTACTTATGCCAAACATAAAGGTTGACTTATTCACCTTTTGTTTTTTATTGTCTATTCATTTTTCTTGCTTTTTGATGCAGTCTCCTGGCATAACCTCAGTATTTTTTTCCTTTTAACTTGCAGTTTGTACTTCACAGTTCGTCGTGCTATTCATTGGTAACAAGTCTTTGGGGAGGCGACAGTCTTGCAGTGCCTTTCTTTCTCAATCTACTCGTGGTTTGAGATCCTTGCTCAGAAATCATGTAAGTTACTTTTAGCTTTTGCTTTCGTCCTCATAATGAGAGGTATCATGGATATTTTTTCTAAAATTGTTCCTCTTTGAATTTTGTGAAACTTTAATCACTATACGGAGATGTGAAAAATAAATATCAACCCTTTCTCTTGTTGTATTAGATTCTTCAGAAATAGATAGTTGGATTCATATGTAGCTTCTTTATGTAAGTTGGGAGTATTTTATAATATGCACTATTTTACAATTTTCTTTCATATTATTTTTGATATATTTTTATATGGTTCCTGCGAATTGTAAACATCACTCACATTATGTCCAACTAAAACAAACTTCACTCAAAGGATTTTTTTCTAAAATGGTTCCTCTTTGAATTTTGTGAAATCTAAATCTCTATACAGAGATGTGAAAAATAATTATCAAAATGTCCTCTTGTTGTACTAGATTCTTCAGAAATAGATAGTTGGATTCATATGTAGTTTCTTTACCTAAGGTACGAGTATTTTATCATTTGCACTATTTGACATATTCTTACATATTATTTTTTATATATTTTTATATCGTTCCTTGCAAACTGTAATCATCACTCACACTATATGTCCAACAATAACAAACATAATTGCTAACTTATATAAATTGGATATAAGAACAATTATGGAAGCCCAATATCCTGTGTTTAAAAAAGGAATAGCTTTCTTTCAAGTTTTTTAGTGGATTGGTGTGCCTTGTCTGATGTTCATGCTCTTGTGTAAAAGTTCACCGAATCATTTTAGTAAATTATTATGAAACTTAATTGATTATGATTTGGAGGTCAGCAGTTCACATCCAGAAAACAAACTCTTCATAATGCAATATTACTAAGTTTGTGTAAATCAACACTTTCTCAGACTTACATAGTTGGCACTTAGCAGGAGTGCCATTTATTAAAAACGTTCCTATGCATCAAGTCAAATTCTCAAACATTCAAATCAGGATTGCTTTACTTAAAAAAATATTAGTCTAAATGGAATGCCAATTTAATAAATTTCTCAAATGTGTTTATTGAATCATGAATCATCATACATATGTGTAACATCAAGTTGTTAGTCCCCCTTTCCCCTTCTTATTGTTTATTTATTTATTTGTGAAAGCAGAATGTTTGTTTCTCCATGCCTCTTTGCCATCTTGAAGTTGAACATGCTAATGAGGCTGATTTGGCTGAACTCTCAGAAATTGAACAACAAAACTTAGGAAAGGTTTGATCGATTATCTGTTCATTTGTTGCTTGCTTATTCAAGTCTTTTTGCACGAGTTTATGCATATGTTCATGTTTTTTTCTTATGTAGGCGTTTCATCAAGATTCTATTTCTGGGGTGGACAATAGCCCTCAGTCTCTCCTTGCATTTATTGGAAACACAAATGTCCATGGGTTATATGATTTTCTATTGAACTATAGGTAAACTCTGCACTCTACCCTTCAGTGCATGGGAAATAATTTATTAGGGACTGGATGTAAAAAATTAATCCAAACCTGACTCGAAAAATTCGTGTTGCGGTTGACCTGAATAATATTTGGGTATGGTTCAGGTTAGGAATTTTAATCCGTTTGGTTCGGGTTGACCCAAATAATATTTGGGTCGGCTTTGGGTCAGGAATTTTAACTCATTTAATTTTTCGGGTCGTGTTCATGTTTACCCGCCCTATTGAACTGAAACAGGCCCGCTAACTTGAAATTGACTCAAAATTACCCAACAACCTGAAAGCAACCCAAACTTGACCCCATGTGACCTGATTAGTTGTCTTATTTTAAATGGGGTATACAGGCAGGTTCGGGTTGAAGACGGGTCAGGTTCATGTTAGAATTTCTGGCCCGTCGGGGTTAATTTTTTTGGAGTCAAAACATGAGAACTATTTTCCATTTTTTCGATGAAATGGAAAATAGTAACTTGAAATTGACTCAAAATTTACTGGAGTGTCTGATATAGTCATAAAGGTCTCCAGACTGAGCCTGATTCGACACTCCAGTAAATTTATAAATGACTAGAAAAATGATCGTGAATTGGATGGCAATGGAAATATTAGCATTTGGTTTCTTATCCTTTATTAAAGGAGCGCCTTTCATTTTTGAGAGTTGCTTAAACATTATAGCAACACATCTTCATTTGTTTTCTCTAACTCCCATCATGTCAATATTTTCTTCGAGGTTCTTTTGAGGAGCTCACATTTCTATTTAACGTCTCTTAATTTAAGTGCTACTTCAATATACCAGCAGAAAGAGTTGCTTTTCACAGCTCACATTTTTAAGTTTATGTTTATGCTTGTTTGGTTGTCTTTGTATTGAATTCAAATTTCTCTTCCTCTGTTTTACAGATTTTTCCTGAAATCCTTAAATGGCAATGATGTTCCAGCATTATACGCCCCTGTTCCATTCCTTAATGCTTCTCTTTGTATTCCAGAGGTAACTTTTACGGGTAGCCTTCATCCTTTTTTTCTTCATGGATACCTTTTTTCAGTCTCATTTCATTCCACTGAAATTATCTGCTACAAACTAAGCTTTCCATTATTCTGGATTTGCTTGAATAAATCTACTAGGCCTATCATGATGCTTGACTCTATTGTATAGGTGAAATGCAAGGAGATTAAAAGAGCTGATGCAGTTTTTGACTCCGATGATCATCTAAGCTTATCTGAAAGCCCTCTATGTTACAACATAGAAGTTAAGGATACAGTTCTACCTCCGTGGGTGATCTGCAGGCTATGTGCAGCAATGAGTGCAACTGGAAATACATTTGAATCAATGTATGCGACTGTTTATTGTCATAGTAAACTTTCATTTATGTACATTATCTTCTTATTTTGTTGCTAATCCTTATTGTTATTATTATTTACTTTCCTCTTGTCAGCTTCACGACAGAACCATTGTCGACTGGGTTAAACATTGCGCTTGAATCTTTCTGTCAGGAGAAACCGGATCAGCTTGGGATCGACGACGCTTCCATGCCTGAGAGTGGTGATGTTCTAGGCCTTCCTGAGGCTGCTTTCGTTCCGTGCTTGCAATCCGCTTCTTTGAGGCGTCTCAAGTACTGCGAGGGTTCTTTTATCGCCTATGTCAATCAAATATGAGTTCTATTACCAACCATGTAATGATGGCCATCCTTTAGCATCCCAAACCTTTGTGGTTTCAAAATTTTGAATCAGTTTTCGAGGAGGTTATCTAGTTTGATTCATTATTCACATCATAAGTTTTTGTCGTTCCAGAAATCAAGCATCTCGTCATGCTTCAGGCATATAAATATAACATCAATTGAATGATCTGTACAGTGAAATCAAGAATCTGAAAAACTTTATGCCGAATGCGTATGGTTGGATCTAAAAAACATTTATCTGAGATCCTTGAAGGTTTTTAGAATGAGTTTGACCAAAATGGGCTCAATCACTTTGAGCCAAATCATAAACCAAGAAGAATGGTTTGTGCTTGCTAGGCTTCTCTCATCGGAAAGAACATTTTGATTGTAAATGTATATGATTAAAGGATCATTTGATATCTCAAATGGTGTAATGAAATTCTCAACTATACCTTTGAATGCTTGGCTTAAGATCACTCAAGTTTTTTTATTCACAAATGTGTTGTAAAAAAAAATAAATTTTAAAAATTTTTTGGGCATGATTCCATGCACAACAATCTCGACCTCTCTCCAAGATTGAGAACAAAGTTAGTTTTTCTATGTCTTAATTTCAACCTTTGCTAAACTTTTCACTTTATTTAGTGCTAAAACCAATGCCACCAAATTGTTCAAAGCTTCATTGAAAGGATCTATTAGCTATTAAAATGTATCAATTTAGTTTTAAATACAAAAAAAAAAAAAAAATCTTTCATATCATAGAAATGAATGATGATCCTACATGTGGAGGAAATTATGCTCCATGTCATAATCTTATAGTTCAACTCTCCAACTATCCTCAGGTGAATTCCTTAGGAACCTCTTAAAAGCATCCTCAATCAAGTTCTTATGGGTGGTCAAGGGAAGCCTCCCGGCCTAGGGACTCAAAGGTCTCCTCAATTGCTCTCACAATCTCATTTAAGAAATCTTTTAACCTAACCAATCATGATGTATGACATAAGGTAATCTTGGTGCTTATAACTTCTTAGTTTTAACTTTACGCACTTATATACTCTTTTATACTAATTTATTGGTTTAATCAATTAGTCCAACAAAACTGAAATGTAATCCTTACAGTATTAACATTTTTAGCACCATTAAGATCCTGGTCCCTATTATTATTGCCTCATTGAGCTTATTATCTCTTATGATATTTTTCCAAATGGTTAAATAGTCTATTAGGTAATGAGGTAAGCATCCTATGATTATATATTATGATATTGTACTTTATAATTTTTTTTGCTCTGCTAATAGTGCCACATGGCAAGTACATTACAAAGAATAACTACACACTTAGATTCTAATAAGAAAAGAAATGGATTAGCAAATCAGTTGGTTAGCAGATAAGACTATGACATAATTCCTCGATAACCTTCATTAAGGTTGAGTAGCATTTTTTTTTTTGTTTGAAATTGTATCGCTAATTCATTTCTCATTTGATACTCATCCTTCTAAAAAAAGTCATGCACGGCTTGTTTATACAAGCCTTCTTCTTTCTTTTTCGTAATATTGATTTTCACAATTCTTTCCCTTAGTATTATTTTTTTGTAATACCCAATTTTGATTAAGATAGATACATTAAATTTATTTTGAAATATGCCCCATTTTTTGCATTCCAATAAATATCCAAATTATTTTTATAAAATTCTACCTTTTTTTTTTCAATTAAATTGACATACATAAGTATAAATACATAATTAATATATTTCATTTAATAAAATAATTAAAATAATCAATTAAATTTGATTTTAATTTTATGAAATTTCTCTTCTAATTACCATTCACTGGGCAGGTGTGTAGAAACAAACAAGAGAAGAAAGAAATAGGAAAAATAGATAGAAGAAAATTAGAGGAATGAATGAATTTTTCTTTTCATTAAATATAATAAAACTCATTTATTCTTTTTCAATCTATTGAAATTGCAACATTAATTTGGAGAGCTTTTTGAACGAGTAACTAAAATTTAGAGGAGAAATTAGAGGGTTAAGGTAAAGAAATTAAGTATTGTTGGTACACTTCTATAAATGTTGGTGTGTAAGTTTGATTATATAAAAATTTTATTAGTTGGCGATATTTTAAAATAAATCTATATGATAGTTATAAATTGTGTACTTGTGTATATTGTTATTCATCATATTTAAACTGAACCGCATGCCTATTTAAGTGTGTAATGATGAAAATGTTAGCTTAGGGAAATGTCATGATATTAAGGATAAGTTGGTCATGACATTAGGGGTGTTAAAAATTGGTCTGACATGCCAACACAACTTGAACTCGACTAAAAAAATTTGAGTTAGGGTTCACCAGATCATTTTTCAAGTTGGGTTCGGGTATGAGAATTTGACCCGTTAATTATTCAAGTCGGGTTCAGGTTGAACTCGAAAACTCAAACATGACCCGAATAAGCACGAATGTTCCGGTTAGCGGGTCAAGCTCGAATTCAGGTAAGGTTTGAGTCTTAATTTTCGACCTGTTTATTATTCGGGTCAAGTTTGGGTTGACCCTATTCAGGTCGAGTTATTTTCGGGTCGGACCCGAACTGGACCAACTGGCCCGATTTAACACCCCTAGATGACATGTTTATGATATATATATACACACACACACACACACACACACATATGATAAAAAAAAAAATGAGTGATAAATAAATATGATAACTTGTATAAGCAGGGCGAAAAAATGAACTTATATGAATATGAAAACTATATAAGTTGTGAGCTCTTATATAATGATCATTAAACTTAGTCCCGCAAACATGATATACTCTAAAGTTAAAGAAAAAATGTTCTCGCTAAGTAACTGTTGAAATATAATAACGCATACAAAGAAATATAAGAAAAATTGAACTAGCCTAATATTAATCATGTATAAATGAAATAATATTTATAACATTAAAAATATGATTGTTCTCTTAAAATTATTTTAGGAAAACTTTTTTATTTATTATTGGGTCAATGGTTGTTCAAATAATTTACCTTTACAATGATTATGAGAAATGATGCTAGTTGATACTGCATATTTTAATTATAAGAGTATTTAAGTTATGGATTAGAATTACATATTTTATTGAATCTCATAGCTCACTAGATTTTTATAATTATTTTTTACAAGAAAAGAAAAGATAAGGTTGAGGTGGAGTATACTACTATAAGATAAAGAGATTTTAAAATAAAATATCTAATGAAGCCTATATTAGTATAAGAAAGTTGGTGTATTTTAGACGCTCTATAAATATATTTAATTAATATATTTTTTATTACTCCTAATCTAAATAGTTTGATTTAATTGAAGTATTATATTTTGTGTTATTCTATGTGAATTTAGGTGATTGAGTTTATCTCTAACGCTATTTTGGTGAGTATGACGCTAGAATAGGGGTTGGAGGCCAATTTAATAAGTTGTATCACAACCACTTGTATAATAGTTTGTATTGAAATGGAAATAGCCAGGTTATATATAAATAACAACCTCGAAGAGCTACCAAGATTCGTCATACTTGCCTGTTTTTGCACAATCTACAAATATTTTTCTTTCTCGGGGGATCATTACACCTCCATTTATGCAACTCTTATGAAAATTTGATAGTTGCCCTCACCTCATCAATCCTTACCCCAATGAGACTTACCTTGCACTACATCCACTAAAAAACTCACCCTATAGTTTTAAGGTTACTTGGCTCTAGCAAATTCCTCCATAAGCTTTCCACTGATTAGCATGATGCCTATTAAGGCATCCCCCATTGAGGACTTGCCTTCCCCTTCATCTTCTTTTGATTGATAGAGATTCATCCTAGAGGCCCAATTTGTAGCACGCATCATGATTACCTTTCTCTATGAATTCGATCTTTTACTTGCTTCCACCTGTATACATGTTAGGTCCTTTGATCATTGTTGTTCAAGCATGATTAAGCTGTGGTTATAATAAGATAAGGACATACAATAATAATTAATGCTACTTACCTAATTTTTTCTACATCCACTAGAAAACTCACCTTATAGTTTTAAGGTTCCTTGGCTCTAGCAAATTCCTCAATAAGATTTCCACTGATTAGCATGATGCCTATTAAGACATCCCCCATTGAGGACTCGCCTTCCCCTTCATCTTCTTTTGATTGATAGAGATTCATCCTAAAAGGCCCAATTTGTAGCACCCATCATGATTACTTTTCTCTATGAATTCAATCTTTTACTTGCTTCCTCTTCTATACATGTCAGGTCCTTTGTTGTTCAAGCATGATTAAGGGGTGGCTATAATAAGAAAAGGGCATACAATAATAATTAATGCTACTTACCTAATTTTTATATGTATAATATTTTAAATGAACTCATTAAGATGACTTATGAGCATGGTGATGATTCATATTACTTAAGGCTAGCTATTTTTTCATATCTAAGAACAAATCCTTTAAGGCTGCTGATCCCGGTTTAATGCTTATGCACGGTATATCAATAGTTCTGATGATATTTTTTACTTATATTTCCTTATTTTGTAACAAAACCAAAAACTTGATCCTGAAGAAAAATAAGAATTTAACTTTTAAATTTATATATATTTATATTGAAATACTACGCAAATATACGTATCGTTATCAAGTAATATAGAACTTTTTTATTAAGACCTGAATATCAAACCCACAGGGAAGATTATGCAATATGCACTTTTTAGAAAGTTTTTCTATTTTTAAAAAGATAATTACTTAAACTAAAAACAATTTTTTCAAGAATTTAAAAGTTAAATATTTTTTTGTGTTTTTGATATTTTAACGAAACAGTAACAACTTAAAAAGTTAACTAATATTTTTGTAGAAGAAAAGTACTTAATATGAAAATATCTTTCTTCTTATCATGAATCAGTAATAAGTATAGGAATTCTGTTGTGGAAGTATGCAAATTTTGTTGTGCCAAATAGGAAGGGGTTTAACCTGTCACTTTAAAGTTCTCTAACTTTACACCCATCAATGAATATTTTCTTATTTATTTGCACTCAATCATATGAACTACATTCTCATTCATACAACCTCATGTGATTCTTTCCAATTGTTGACTGAGACAATACCAACCCGATTCTTAAATGTTCTCACAACAAATTTTAACATATGGATTGGCCAAATCAAGAAGTAATGAAGTGCATGGATTTAAATCATCACAACTTCTTCCAACATTAAAGATCAATACTCTCCACAACTTCCATCCAAAACTTAATTACTTATCATTTTAAGAAGAAAGATAAAAAAAACAGACGCTTGCTTTCATGATAATTTTTTTCCATGGTGGTTACAACCACCTATTATGCCAATGGGTGCCTCAAAAACCTCTTCGAAATTTGTGAAAACCGATTTTATTCGTCTAGTAACTGCCACTGGTGCTTAAGCGCGGGGTCTCGACACTTAGGCGCAACCTTATCTGTTTAACCAGCGCTTAAGGATCTGACGCTTAGGCG